CATGTTACCATTACTACAGGACGTAAAACTGAAAAAAATTGCCAGATGAGCGCGAAAATTCTCCGCCACTTCTCACACCAGCAAAAAAATTGGCGCCTCTGACGTCTCTCGAACAAGATGAGAGCAAACACTGCGCTGTGTTTTTACTGGTTTTAAGTTATACTTATTCACACTTCACCTCATCGAGTGCTCACAATGTCATGTTAGTACAATTTGAACACGTTTGTGGGTAAGGCAGGATTTCCGTTCAAGGGGGAGGGGAGGAGATTTTTTCGAATTGAAGCAGGTGGCGATTGAAGCAATTTATAGCAATCTTTTAGATAAATAGATAAGATAATATTACAGATATAAGTCTGCATGGTGGCTATTCCCACAAGTAGTTGCAGTAATCTTTGTTCAATCGAATAGTTAAGAAGTTTTGTACGAAAAAGAGATTCAATTTCCAACTAAACTGATCTGCGCAGTGCGTAAGATAACTGATTATGTTTGTATTGAATCTAGATTTCTATTGCCGTTGGGTATTCTCCAGTGAGACAAGCTGTACAATGACCGATATCGAAGTTCTCTGATTTTTCAATCCCTGATTCCACAGCCTATAAGCATAGTCTAAGTATGAGGAAAAAAGTTACAATCTTACTTGAGTTAATTACCTCTCGTAATCCATCCACAGACAGATAACCTACGGATGTAGCTCCAAAATATTCAGTTATTTCATCTAAGTCTTTGTTACTCGCTAATAATTCATCAGCAGTGGGTATATTGATGCCCATAAAACACGGGAATTTCACTGGAGGTGATGCGATCCGCAAATGAACCTGATAATAATCTGTATTAGAATTGTTAATCATCAAACATCCGCTACCTCTTTTGCTCCCGCGTTCAACAGCATTTGCACCAGCACTTGCATGGTATTCCCTCGAACTATCGAATCGTCAACCAGCACTATTCGTCTGCCTTCCACGTTTTTCTTCAGCACACCTGATTTGCGATAAAATGCACATGTAGATCGATTCATAATAATGAAAATATGCACCAAATTTTTTGTGAATTGCAGACTGTCGCATAGCATGGCTCGGTTGTATGAATGACCGTCCAACATAGCTATTACGATGGAAGCAAGGTTCGTAGGGAATTCCCGACTGAAAAATTATGCATTTATCAATGCGTAAATACCCGTCCTTAATTCGAGCTGTTCGAACTGCTGATTTTACTTGCTTTGGAGGCAGTGTTCAGTCATCTGAGTACTTGAGCTTGTTGTGTGCAGATAGATTGGGGAGTCCCAATACTT